TTGTTAATTCCGACTTCAGAGTTAATCTGAAATTCACCAATAATACAGAACCTTTATAAAACAGACCAATATGCTGCAGTAAGGCTTCACTCTGACTGCATCCTATTGAATGAAACACCAAAAACCGAGTTAAATGCACATAAAAGTTCATCTTTCTGTGTCGTGTTAAAGATGCCAACACCTGTGGGGCGAATCGACCTCAAACTATGAATAAAAAGCGATGCTCTGGGTTTGTGAGATTCATGTCAACATCACTGATCTGGTGTAACATATGGGTTTCGTGCAGTTTGAGTAAATATCTACTGTACCCCAGTCTTCTTGTCAGCTTTCTGGACAGTGTATCCAGTGATGTCTGTGTTGCCATTATCCTTGGGTGGAGTCCACTCCAGAGCAGCATTGAAGCCCCAGGCATCCACCAGCTTTATGCTAACAGGAGGACCAGGGCGCTCTGAGGAAACACATTACTGTAAGTATCACAATCATAATGAGTCCACTTCTTTAACAATTTCATGAAACGTCAAAAGAAAACCATCTATTTAAACTGTATGTATTTTAAGCTCCACAGTAGCTGGCACAAGGCTCAAGCACTCTGTCAGAGATGTCATTTATGTTGGCTAATACCCAGAGAGAGTCACAAGTCTAGAAACGAGGAAGTCAACACGCCAGCTGCAAAGCCAGCTGAGCAGATTTAACAGGAAGGCCTCGCGTGAATCAACAGTTTGACACGCTCACATATTCTTTGTGTAAATGAGATTGTTTTATGTCTCATGTGTCACTCACCCACAATCTGAAGGGTAATTGTGCCTTTATCTTCAAAGCTGTCCACTTTTAGGGTCATCTCATAAACACCAGAGTCCTCCCTCTGAGCGCCGCGGATGAACAGGATGCTGTCCTTGTCACTGTTCCTGATATTGACCTTCTTGGTATCCACAGGCTGACCATCTTTAAGCCAGGACACTGCAGGTTTAGGCTTTCCCTAAGGAGTTCAAAACGAGAACGGTTAAAAGCAAAAGAAACCGAAGTGTTCAAAAATGTATCTGTCAGCCTTTTGCGTTTCCTCACTAATGCAGCGACACAAGCCAGCTTACAAGAAACGGGATGACGAGGTTGATCTGCTCCCCGACTTTCTTGACATAGCGGGACCTGAGAGCCCGAGGCAGGCGGATCTTGGGACGGTCTGCAAAGTCAAATCAAGCATGTTTATTTTTCACCTCGTCCGATTTGCTGCTGATTTACTTACTTACTTACTTACTGTTAACAGTTAACATTACATGCTAACAGCATAAAGCACGGTGTATACACATCCTGTCAGACTCTTTAAAGTGTGGTCACACATGCATAGACTGGCAGGTCAACAAGACCTAAATAGAGCAGCTGCTGCTGCTGCAAAGTCTACGAGAGCACGATTGAACAGCTAAAATTACCCACAACAGTTTAACTATGCAAATTCATGACAGAAAAATAGTCATAACAGCCGAGAAGCTGACAGTCTGAATATGTATTTAACTTTAGAAAGAGGAAAATGCACTGTTAGCAGGACTAAACTAATCTGAAACAGTGATGTGTGTGAAACGCAGACAATTACAAACTAACTTGATGATCAAAGATTTTTAAAAAGTCAGCATCAGCTCATCGCACTTTCACTTCAGTTTTTCAATGTAAACATTTCCTTAAAAACATAAAAACAAGCTAACATAAAATCTTTTCCATACTGATGCAAGTAACCTGACACATCATCACACTCAAGCCACCGTTTAAGTGCTCA